GGTCAGGAGTGGCCTTCCATGTGAGGGGTGAGGCCCAAGGGCTGTTTCTGAGGTCTCCCATGCCTGGTTCTTGGTGTTGCCATAGCACTTGCAGGGCTGTGCCTGCTGTGGCTGATCATTTACTCTCGTTCCCTCCACACTAAATGTGGATTGCTCCAGCCTTGCTGACTGAGAAGCATTGCTGAAGACCATTTATGTAAGGGCCTGTTGAATTTAGAAGAGAATTCTGAGCCCTGAGAGTGATAGACACAGTGAGCTGTGAGCAGCAGAGAGATTTTAAGTGTATCAAGCTGTGATCTTAAAAATAAAGATCACAGCTGTTTGAATCAGTTAATAAAAACAGTAAAGCAGTATCATCAAATCCTAATCTAAAATGGTAATAGCAGTTGAGATTTGAATTTATAGGTATATTGGAAATTTGATAAAGAAAACTCCTTCCATGGTCTTTAATCCTGTGACATTGAGTCATTTGGAGAGCAGTAGAAATGCCCTTCTATTTGATGGCTTGTCTTTCCAAGTAGATGCCCTTCCCCAACCCCTGCTTGCTGATCCAGGCATGGATGGAGCAGTAGAGGTGGAAGCAGCAGCTCCCTTACCAAGTCTCCATCATTTCCTCTTGATTTCCAGCTTTCATTTTCCCTTCCTCCTTTCCACCTGTCACTTAACTCATTCTGTTGTCTTCTCACTAATTGTCTGTCTGTCTGTCTGTCTGTCATCTATTTCTCTGATGGACACCTCTGTCCTATCCACTTCTTTAGTATTTCAAAATCCTTCAGCTTTCACCCTTCAGCAAGATTTTGGCTGTTTCTTCTTTCCCTCTTCTGACTCCTGTGGAGGCCTCTGCTCCACTTTGATTAACCTGCCTTACAATAAACTGCTGCCAATTCCCATCCCTTCATGTATTTTTTATTAGATATAGCAGAGTAGCTCTTCTTGCTGGTGGCTCCAAAGCGACCTTTGTGTCAAGACACTGTTACATCACAGTGTGTCTTGGTGTGGCCACCTGCTGTGATTCTTGGACCTGTAGATCTATGTCTTTCATCAAGGCCTTAAACTCATTTTCCTAGACTGCCTCTTTGGTTTTGTTTGCTTGCTTATTTTATTTTCCTTCTTAAAAACTTTTTCTAGCAGTCTTACTAAATATAAATGCAAAGTTCTAAGACTTTCATCCATATCTTAATATAAATAGGAAAAAAATCTCCTCTCTTCTCTTTACTTTTCTTAAACCAGGGATTGAACTCAGGGCCACGTGCTTGTGAGGCAGGCATGGTACCACTGAGCTGAATCTCTAGCCCTCTTCTCTTTCCTGTTTTCCATGTCTAGTTTTTTTTTGCTGCATTTGGGGTAATTTTTTCAGATCTATTTTTAAAAACACGTTTCCAGTCTACTTATCCTTTCCTTGGGATCCAATTTGTGCTTATTTCCCTTTTTGGCCTTGATTTTCAACTTTAAAATTGTCAATAATAATGAAATAATAATTTTATTTCTGTTTTCTTACCTACGATCATTAGCAAGTAGGAAGTTTTGTGTGGTGCTTGTAAAATCTCTTAAAGTATTTGTTATTCTTTGGTCATGTTTTCAAGGATCACTTTTATATCCTTCATTCTTGTAAATATCCTAATTTTAGGATATGTAAAATAGAGGTCTCTAGTCTGGAATTCTTGGCAGTGGTGGAGCTGTGTGGGTGCTGACCTTATGTTGACTGATACTTGCTCACAGCAGATAGTGTGTGTTGTAATGTTGGATTGTGTGTTTTTCTTCAGGGGCTTCAAGTTGTTTAATCCAAGTTTGAGTCCAACATGGGTAGCCTATGGCTACCAGGGTGGAGCTGTGTGGGTGCTGACCTTATGTTGACTGATACTTGCTCACAGCGGATAGTGTGTGTTGTAATGTTGGATTGTGTGTTTTTCTTCAGGGGCTTCAAGTTGTTTAATCCAAGTTTGAGTCCAACATGGGTAGCCTATGGCTACCAGTTCTCAAGAGAGTTTTTTCTCCACCATTCCCACTGAGGTAGACAAATTTCTTTTTTATGGGGAAGGGGATTATTGGGGATGGACCCCAAGACATCACCCATGCTAGGCAAATGCTCTACCACTGAGCTACACCTCCAGTCCAGACAAGGTTCCCAGTTGTCTCTTTGTACGTTAATTGTTTTTCCTAGTTCACTCTTTTGCAGATGGTAGTTTATTAGGAGTATCATCTTTATGATGGATCCTCAGTTTCCACTGTGGTACCCTCTCCTTATGAAGGCCTGGGGGCTCCTTCTCCCCACCCACATGGACATTATAACCCAGATCCTGAGTCTCCACTTCTAGCACCCTTCCCTTCTGTGCATGGCAGCCAGCTTCCATTCTGAGGCTTGACTCTGGATTTCAGGTTTTTCTGTGTATTTGGCTCTGGAGAATTCCCTTCTTCCTTGAGGATTCAGCTAAACATCTTGAATTTTTTTAATATTTAACTGAGAATTTCTAAGTTTTTAATAAATTTTTTTTTCAAGATCTCTCTTTTGCCAAGAGCATATCATCACCATTCTCTGACAGAACTTAAATGTTTCCTGGTGGGTGGAAGACGCCTGTCTGTGTTCAAGGGGGAGGAAGAAGGCCTCTGCCTGTTAGAAATGTAGAGATTTTATTTAACTCACGCATGAGCTCTCAGGACTGTTCTTGCATCCTCACTCAGTCCTCTCCCATTCATCGCTTATTCACTAAGTTTCTACTGTCCCGGATTTCATAAATTCATTTAGCAAACATATATCAGGTATGGCATCTGCTGCATGCCAGACAGATGCTTCTGCTTGGCAGAAAATTAGCTAGACCCCTGTCTTCATGGTGGACACAAATATTGATCAGCTAATCACTTATACAAATATGAAATTGCACATGTGGTAAGTTCTGTGAAGTAAATGGCTATGGAGTTATGAGAAATGTAGTAGGAAATTTGTTGGACCGAGGCCAAGAAAGGCTCATCTGAGGCTATAACATGAGAAGCAAAAGTGAGTGACTTTCACTGAGCAGAAATGAGCACTGAGATTGTTCCAGGTATGAAGCAGTAAGACAAAGGCACTGGGGTCATGAGGGAGAGATGCAGAGGAAATCGAAGAATATCGTTTCAGAAAAGGCTGGGGGAAACCAAAACAAAACCATGGAAGACTTCGGAGACTGTGTTAGGGAGTTTTGTATTTATCAGAAGAGCCATGGAAAGGCCTTAAACAGTGGATGACACTTCCTGTTTGCCATTGGGAAGCTCCTTCTGATTCCAGGGAAGAGAGCACATCTGAGTGGCAGGAATGAAACCGGGGGTGAGTTGGGAGGTACCACAGTGGGCCGGAGGAGGACTGCTGGTAGCTCACCCCCAGTTTGGGCTCTAGACAGAAAGACATAGACAGATTTGAGACTGACTTAGCAGGTAAAAGCGTGAGGAACAGCAGGGGCCTGGGACCAAGCCAGAGTCCCAGGCCTGTGTAACTGGGTAGACATGCAGTCCCTCTACTTGAACAGGGAACACAAGGAGCAAATCTGGTGGAAAGGCTATGGGTTTTTTTTTGAACATACTGAGCTTCGAAGGTTGTTAGACACGCTAGAGAGGAAAACTGCAAGAAGGATCGGATATACGGGTCTGGGGCATGAATGTGTAATTAGCTCACAGGGTCAAGGTCAAATGGTGGAGCTAATGAGATTCTAGGAGACAGAGATGGGGTCACAGAGCCCTGAGCTGTACGAGCGTGGAGGTTACGGACGACTTCCTGGGAGGTGTCTTGGTAGGGAGATGCACAGGAGACAGCACGTAGAGCCGGCAGCAGAGGAGGAAGCTAATCCATCCAGACTGCTCTTTGAAGAAGTACGAACTTTTAACATTTATTAAACTGACTGGACCTAGATTGAACCCGGGCCTGGCACGTGGTAGTGGGTGCTCTACCACTGAGCTACATGCCTACCCAAAGATGTGTTGAATTTTTTAAAGGAAATGTGTCGTTTAATTATGACTGGGTGGCAGAACCTTATCACACAGTAAGCCAGTGGGCACAAAAGTGACTTCGTGGTAGTGCAGAGGGCAGAGGCCCCTGCACCAGGCTGGCGTGTAGCTCGGTGGGCAGGGGCGATGGCCCAGCATGTGGGGCCCTGGGATCGTCTGCAGCACTGCAGGAAATAAAGAGACAGGATTGACACTGAGCTGCAACAAAACTAGTGTTTACTGAGCTCTGGCTCCTGCTCTTGGCCCTGTTTTAAATGCCGAGCATGTGTTAATTAGCAGTCTCACGACAGGTCATTAGCTCAGCGGGAAGTGAAGCGCTGGACACCAGAGTGGCGATGGGATGGGCCGGTTGGGGGCAGCAACTTGACCCAAGTGGTCTGGCTTTTTAAAAACAATTGCTTTATAGTAAATGACAAATAGTAATTGTATAAATTGTATATTTATGGGGTACTGTCTGGCTGATACAGGTTGTCACTGTGACAGGACTAAATCAAGCTCAGTAATACACCTAGCACCTTACACACTTATAGTTTTTTGTGGTGAAAATGTTTGACACCTGCCGTTTTGGTACTTTTGACACACGTGTCCCTGAACACTGCTGTTCTGCTTTCCATAGGGATCTACAGTAGCATATTGGTGTCGTCTGTAAGCCTAGACGCGAGCTCATCCACCTGCAGATATTCAGGATATTATATAATGGCCTTGGGCACATGTCTAAATTAATTCTTGCTCAAATCCTTTGTGGGACCTTCTTCTTGGCTTTGCACTGTGGAGTGAGGCTGGGGGAATTGGAGGTCTGGTTATAGGAGCTGTGGCTGTCCTGGAATGGGCACATTATTCCCATAATTACCCTGTGACCTGGGCCCACTGCCGAGAGCACAGCCGGTGAGCACGACCCCATGTCTTCTGCCCACCACCTCTCTGCCAGGATGTGTCTTCTGCGAGTTCCATGACCCGAGCTCCCAAAATGAGCCGTCTTTTTCGCGGGACCAGCTCTGACCACAACCTGTGCTTCTCTTCCTCTGCAGGATTCAATAGCATGGAGCGAACGTGTGACAAAGAGTTCATCATACGCAGGACAGCCACCAACCGGGTCCTGAACGTCCTCCGCCACTGGGTCTCAAAGCACGCACAGGTAACTCGGGTGCCACGGCTGTGACTTTCAAGTATCATTACCCTGACTTTTCTGGTCTCCGGGTGTGCAAAACATCTCTTGGTTCTTGGCAGCTAAAATGTGCAAGCTTGGAATTAGAAACTAGATGGGGAAGAGATTAGGCAGCCATGTGCCTGGCCGGCATCTATGTTTCCCATCTGTGAAGGACACAGGGTTCCTCTTCCTCCACCCGTGCCACCCTGCCAGCCCTGTCCCAGGGTCGCACCACCGTCTTCAGCACAGCTGTGCTGTGGGCCACCAGCTGCAGGGCCTGGGAGGGAGGAACCCAGCACTGCTGGAGGGAAGCGGACACCCGGCCTCTGCTCAGGGGAGATTGACTCAGGACACTGCCTCGTGTCTGTAGGCGTCTTGGTTCTCAGTACTCCGTTTTCAAATAGTGTCACACTGGCAAGACACCCACTTGTTGGTGTGATAAAGAAATATGAATGTGAATTTAGAGGGAAAGACACATTGCCACAAATCTCCCTGGCTTTGAACACACTGATCCCACCGGCATTCCCGTTTCCACAGCAGCTCTGGAGTCCTCTTTCCTGAGTGTCTCTAGTTGTGCTGTCCTGGCTGCTTCCATGTCCTAAATTGATCCAAAACACTGATCTCTCATGGTCAGTGTGACTCTGGGGAGGAGCCAGATCTGGTGAATAAGGTAGGTGAGGACACAGTGTTGTTCTTATTTGACAGAAATTGCCATAAATAGTTGATCAATGAATGGTGATCATAAGCTACAGTAAATGTTTACATTTTAAAAGTTGATTACAATAAATGGCACATTGCTGTTAGTCTCCCCTTAAAATCCTCAAATCCTCTCCCACCTGTGAACACACTTATTCCGTTGTTCTGGACATGGTGTCTTTACTGTGGTAAGATCTGTTAAAAACTTTTCACATTCAGCCAGTCTGTGGAGCACCCCTGGGGTTTAGGTTTTCAGCTCAGGTCAGAAACGTTGTTTTCACCCACGAGCCTGCTTGTGGAACAGCGTTCAAGGGGCCGGGACTGGGAGGGCAAGGCCTGGAATTACTACACAGAAGCCAGAGAGGTTTCTGGAATGCTTCCGCTTTATTCAGCAAATTCACAGCCTTATATGGGGTAAGGCGGGGGTGGAGCCAGTGTGGCACTACGGGATCGCTATTGGATAGGGTAAGGCAGGGGTGGAACCAGGGTGGTGTTGGGATATCTGGCACATCGTTATTGGCCATATGTTAGTTTTTGGATTGTAGCTTTAGGCCCAAGGGGGTGGATTATTCCAGCCCTAATAGGCCTCGGAGTTTTCTCAGGAGAGATGGATGCCGCGCTCCTGACTCAGCCAGAAATTAATCTGATCCTCAGTTCCCCTTTTTGTCTTTGACTCCAGAGCCTCAGCCAAAAGGTCCACGTTTTTATGATTTTGTTACTGGCACATGTGATCTTTAAAATAAAGAACAATAACAATATGCCAAACAAGGTTAATATATATGGGGATCCCAACATCAATCCACATATCCAACTACTGAAATTATTCCATCCAGCATTAATTTTTGTCCAAATGGTATCCCATACATTATTTAAAGTCACAACATCTAATGCCTGGGTATTAATTCCTCCCAAACCAAGTTTAATTGGATTTGTAAATTGAGTACAGCTGTGTGGACATCTTGAAATAGCAGGGTGGTCTTTTGAAGCCTTGGGTGGTGTTTTTTGTTAGCTGGTTGACCATTTCTGCTGTAGCCACTTGATTTTGTGAGGTGACTGTTGCCATTGTTGTGGCGGAAATAGCTGCCATCATGGAAACGATGACAGCAATAAGGGAGGAAATTTCAAAATCTTTCTTACTGCGAGGATAAAGCATAAGATTAAAGAGAGGATCTGAATTTTGTCCTTCCGTATGGAGATCAATGGGGACCCAAATAGCCAGGGGTGTTCCAGCAAAATATAAACTCCAAGTTTCTGTATGATTAAACAAAGAAGGATCAATACAAGGGGTAAAACGAACATGAAAGGGGAAGGCAGAACAAGATAGAGACAGTGGGGGCGGGTAGGTATTTGCAGATTTGTCCAGGACGAAGTAGAGATCGAAGGCTCTGCGACAAGGCTGTTCCCGGGCACCCCCGCCCCCACTGCTCAGTGCCAGCAGCCCCAGGCTGGGGAGCAGCCAGCCCTGCGGCTGCACACTGGGGACTCCGCTGCAGCTGTTTTGGCCCCACTGGGCCTAAGGCGCCCCGGGGCTGGGGCCATGAGCAGCTGGGGCGACAGGATCCGCAGTGGGAGGCAGGGACAGCGGAGGCTGGGGACTACAAAAGGACTTTCAGCCACCGACCAGGCTCCCCTCCCGGGTCAGCAGGCCCCGGCGCCCAGAAGCTGCAGGTCTTTCGCTCTGAAACTTTTCCGAGCTCTCAGCTGTGCTGGACCCTGCTTTGGAGGAGGAGGCTGGGCGGCCCGGAGGTCCAGGACCTCGAAGCCATGCTAAGGTCTGATCAAAGGATTATTGCTCCTCATCCGACAAGTAAGATGGCGGTGCACAGGGTGGAGGCCGCCATTTTAGACGGGACAATGTGGTCTCTCCGGATGACCATTTCCAGTGACTCGGGGGGGGGGGTTTGGCGGGGGCACTTCATCAACAGGAAGTGAGAGACCAGCAGGCAGGGCTGATGCCTTTGGGGAAGAAGAAAGCAGAAGAGACAGCCCGCCCGCTCCATCTTTTTAAAGAGGCTTTTGTCCGCCATCTTTAGAGTGCTCAGAGGAGCCCTACACTCTCCTAAATTTGGGCTGGAAATGCCTCGGATGCCTTTATTAGGGCATGAGGACCCTTTACTAAGGTGGCCTGTACTGGCCATTCTTGACTCATGACATTACCCGTGATGGGATCCTTGCTGGAAACTTCAATATTTACCCAGTATACGCAAGTCCCCTGTTCGGTCACCATGGAAGGATTTACACCCTTTTGTAAGCCACAGCCAGGCCCCGCCTTGCCTCACTGGCTTGGGGCTCATTGGAGCCCTTCTTTCCCACTGTGGGGCCTCAGGGGTGAGGATGGGGCCCTTGGGGTGCAGGCGTGGGGCTCACACTGTGAGAGAAGGGGAGGAGCCCACGCCTGTCCTGGGCGTGGTCCTGGGGCCACACTCATGACCCCGAGGCAGCAGGGTTTCCTAGGAGACCTGAGGACCTGGGGCCTCACCGGAAGGGTAACCAGAAGCCAGCAGAAAGTCTTTAAAGAACTGCAATCCAGGGCCGGGGATTTAGCTCAGCGGTTCAGTGGCCTGCCTTGCAAGCGCAAGGACCCGAGTTCAATTCCCGGTACCACCCCCACCCCCAAAAAGAACTGCAATCCAGGGCCGGGGATTTAGCTCAGCGGTTCAGTGGCCTGCCTTGCAAGCGCAAGGACCCGAGTTCAATTCCCGGTACCACCCCCACCCCCAAAAAGAACTGCAATCCTGATGCCATGCAGAATAAGAGGTGTAAGGCTCCGTTGTAAATAAGTAAAATGAACCCTATTTCATTATAATCCCAAGGACGGCCTGGGTTCCTGGACAGCATCTCATAATCTCCGCGGACAGAACTGAGTCTCGGCAATTCAAACACCACGCTTGGGTTTTATGGCATTCTTTAAATTTTAACTTTATTTGTTTGGTATTGGAAATTGAACCCAGGGCCCCACACTGAGCTACATCCTCTGCTTCTCATATATGGGTCTCCTTAAGTTGCTCAGGCTGTGCTTCAACTTGCAATCCTCCTGCATCAGCCTCCCTGAGGGCTGGTGCTTACAGGCACGCTCCACCATACCTGGTTAGCCTTTTCTTTAAAAAATATTTGGTGAGACTTGAATGCTTCGCGGTGCTTTCTGGGTCCCAGCATCCTCCTCTGTCAGCGCCTCTTCCTCTCCTTCTGCCTTCTCCCTCGCGTGGCTGGATGGCCTACCCAGAGGCTGGGGCTCTTGCTCTGGCTCCGCCTCCCTGTCCTGCGGGCCCCTATTGGTCTCCCGGCCCCTCGGTGGGTGTCAGCCTCTCTTCCGGGAGAGGCTTTTCCCGACCCTCCGTCGAAGCCCTTCCCTGGTGGCATCTCGGGCCACACAGGGCACCGAAGACAAGACAAGGTGAGCTGCAGCCGGACTGCGGGGTGTGGCTGGCTCCCCAGACCGGGCACTGGGTCAGAGCTGCACAGGGTATGCATGTCCTTTGTCCTGGGCTTTGGGAAACTGGGCGTGGTGAAGGGTGGAGCCAGTGGGCACAGAGGAGAGGGGGAACCGGGAGCCTCCTGGGCAGGGGTACTGGGGATGCACAGGCCCTGCCTCGCGAGGGCAGAAGGTGTTGCGTCCCCCACCCAATTGAGCGCCTGGCTCACCGCCATCCTCCTGCCTCTCCAGGGGAACACAGCCAGGCTCATGGCTGGAGGTTCTTCTGCTCTCAGCCCAGCACCCAGAGTCAGGGCCAGCCAGGCAGTGTGGCAGGCCTGAAAAACTGAAGACTTGGGAGGGTTTTAGCTAAATTTAAACAGCCACAGGTGACTCCTGGCCACAGCATTAGCATCTAGCTCTGAACCACTCACAAGTGCCACAGAAACCAGGCTCATGGCTATAACTGCACTTGGGCTGAGGTAAAATGGAGCTGCATCCTGTGCTGACCTGGGAGACGGGAGGTGAAGGCTGGTGTGACGGCCTCTGCTTCATGTGTCTGAGGGTCTTGGAGACATAGGCCACGACATGTGAGTTTGCACAGTTTGCTTCTGTTTGTCATTTTGACAGTTGTCAGGATCCTTTTCTGTTTTAAATTTCTTGGCATTGTTTAGCAAAGCCCAGAATTCCTCATGGCAGTAGAGCGATGGCTTCAGACATCTGCTTTGTTCACATCTGAAGCAGAGGCTGGGCCAGGACAAGCTGAGCACCCGGCTTCCGTGTGGTTCAGAACAGGCAGCTTCTCACCTCTCCTGGTCTGGGTGCCTGCCTACCTGCCCAGGTACTTTTCCAGCTGGTGGTTGCTCTGCCACTAGAGGAC